CTTAAGACATAGCTTTCAAGAATGCCATTGATCCTGAGATATACTCTGGATGTATTGGCCATATTTGGGGCAAAAAACACAACCACATTAAATATATTCATTGATTGTAAGATGCCTTCTGATTCTGAGAATGTTTAAATGTGAATAAGAATGTATCCTTTATGAAAAGAGGAAATTCAGTAATATGAATATTAGGCCCCATTTTCAGATGAGTAAGAAGTAAAAAAGATTAAGTGATTCTCCCAAAGCAACCCCAAGGATTCCTCCATTCTCTTAACCAGAATACGACACCACCTACCACAGTATGTATGAGTGTGAGTAGGAAACTTTGCGATTCGTGGCTTTGATGAAAATTAGGAGGAAAATGCACTGGGCTGGAAAAGTGGTCCTGTGTGTATGTGTGTATCCCCTCCTGGGGGGTAGCCACCCTTTTGACCAGGTTGGTGCATCCTCTGCGGGAATTGGGGTAGAGAGGACCCAGGCCTGCGTCCTGAAAACCTTATTTTTCAAATGAGAATTCCTTACAAATAGGAAAGGGCTTTCTCTTCTCACCTATCATCCTTATGGGTTAAGGGAAGCTTCAAGATAGGGGCTGGTCAGGTCCAAGAGACCATTTACATGGATGAGGAGACTCGGTTGTGAGGCATGATGCAAGTAACGCCTGACATGGGGGTTCATTCTCTTGGTTCATTCATTTACTTATTCATTCTTTGTTTCACTCAGCAAATACTCACTGCTGCCCGTATAGTGCCAGGTTCTCTGCAGGGTGCAGAGAAAATGGACTAAACAGCTTTTGCCCTCATGGAATATAGACTTAGAAGCAAAAACAGGTAATCACTCATTATCTATTAATTCAACAAATATTTATTGAGTACCAAGCACTGGAGAAACAGCAGGAAAGAAGTCAGACAAGGTCTTATCCTCATGGAGTTTATAGGCTCGTGGTGGAGAACACAGATATTTAATTCACAATTGTACAGGTAATTCATTATCATTGCAGTTACTACAAAAGAGAAGTAGAGTGCCAGCAGAGTCCATTGCAAGGGGCAGTGTTGGAGAATCAGCAGGACACCAGGAGAGAGCGGGCCAGGAAGCAAATGGCAGTGGGGAAGGACTCCAGACTCAGCTCAGGGGCCCAGTGGGTGTCAGCAGGGCTCAGGTCAGAGGGAAGCCAGGCCTACCTCGAAGATGGACAGGTGAGAAGGAGGAGAAGAGAGAGGAAGCCATCTCTCCAGGGAGTGAGAAAAGGCCTCATGGAAATGGGCAGGGGTTCTTGAAGCCATCCTTTCTTGCTTTCTTGCTGATCAAGAATAATTATTGAGTGCACCATGCTGGAAGCATTTTATCATCTTATTTACCCACCAAGGTGGGTGCCATCACCCTCTTTTCACAGATGAGGAGGCCAAAGCTTGGCAGTGTGAGTGCCTTGTCCCAGATCAGATCAAGCTCTTGTGTGGCTGAGCAGGGACTGGGACTCGGATCTGCCGAACTGCTTGGCCACAGCACTCTACTGCCCAGTTCTGACTGTGGGAGGCAGAGGCGGCCAGGTGGAAGGAACCCTGACCCACTGGGATGTTCTAGAAGTCAGTGGGCATCTTGGGACTGTTTAGAGAGACTCCCCTTCCTGGTCCAGAACTACTCAGGTGGTGAGGCATGTGGTGGGGCACACAAAGTGGATCCTGGTGAGGGGAGGAAGAGCGCGGAAACCCCAAATAATTCATATAATTGTTTTGTTTAAGGGATACTCATGACTTAATGTGTCCTGTAAAGACTCCGACAGGTGCCAACACAGACAATGAGTTTTGCCACACCCTGGGGATTTCAAAGTGGGCCAGAGCCATGTCGCATAGCTTGACTCTGGCAGCAAGGGTCTCCCCTATGGAGAAGGAGAGGTTGGGATCCGATAAGCTGGCTTTCTCGACTCTCCAAGTGCTCAGCAATCGAATAGATGAAAAGTAGAGATTCGGGCCACAACTGTCCTAGAAAGGGGAGAAGAGGAAAGAAAGGGAAGGGAATTCACTTTACAAGCACTTCACACACTATCTCAGTTAACACATGACATTGAGGGGAGGCTGGGTGATGGGTTTTAACCATGTGCCTTGAAAGAAGAGAAGGCAGAACACAGATATTGGCAAAACCCAGCAGTCACCGTCACAAATGCTGACCTCCGTTATTGATGGCAAAACCTCTCGATTGGATTGAAGGTTAACCCCAGGCCGAGGAAATTTGAATTTGATCATTTCATAAATGCTGCTGGAGAAACTGGAGAACTGTAGAATAAATTAAAATGAGTCCCATACACCGCCCTCTGGACTCTTCTTGATTTCAAATAGGCTAAACCATTTAAAATGCCACAAAGATGATGGGAAAACACATGCACCCCAATTGTGGAGAAATTACACTTTTCTAATTAAAATAAGTTGGTAGGGATTATGACACATAATCAGCTAAACAACAACAAGAGCAGGGGACTGGAAAAATATGAGTTTAATAGCCCAAGTAGGTCCATTTAGGAGGGAAATACCCAATGGATAGATGACAAATAACACTTGGCACAAAGGTTAAATACTTAGAAACGTTTTAGTCTGTATAGTCCATCATGACATGCAAATACTACATTACAGCCAGAAAGACCCTCCTACCAACAAATTTAGCAAAAATCAGTTAAAATGATGAGGTCCACTGCTGGTCTGTAGAGACAACGTAACTCACTCATGTGGGTGTGTGAATCATCCCATTGGTCCTGAGGAAACCTGGCCTGACAAGATGATGTATTCCTGTGACCTTGGGTTCACTGAACTCGCTCTTGGGGAAGGATCTCAAGGAAACAACTCAAGAGGAATAGTAATTAGCGAGACTGCCCAGGTGCCTGCAGTTAGAAACTAGTTACCTAAAATTGTGTTCGGAATATTCTGTTACCATAAGAAGTTCCTGCCTGGTGTCAGACAGATGGGGAGCTCATTCCAAGTCCGTCGTTTAGCTGTGTGACTTTAGATACGAGGTGTGATCAAACAATACGGTAAATATTTCAATTAAAAAATTATTACACTATAAAACACATTGCCATTAATCCCCCTCGCCTCAAACACACTTCTCCCATCGTTGTTGCCACTTTCTGAAGCAGCTCTGGAAGTCCTCTTTCACGAGTGTCTTTAGTTGTGTTGTCGTGGCTGCCTCGATGTCCTGAATCGATTCACAACGTTTATCTTTCATGGTCATTTTGACCTTGGGGAAGAGTCAGAAGTTGCACGGTGCCAGATCTGGGGAATAAGGTGGATGAGGACACACCGTAATGTTTTTATTTGAAACTGCCGTACCAGAAACGATATATGACACGGAGCGTTGTCATGATGGAGGATGAAACCGTTTGCCCATTTCATGTTAACACATTGTTCATGATACATGATTTATGCCACACTTTAAAACACACCTTCTCTCAACCGTAGCTCACACCCAACTGACTGCACTGAACAAGTTGAAACTTGTCACATACTGTCACTAATGTTCGATGTGCGGCTTCCCGTATTGAAGATCCCTGCCTTTCTGTTGGATGGCACTCCGCAGCAGCATTCACCATATTAGTTTCTTTGGTACCACCTCATATGTCACCCTCTGAGCCTAGTTCCATCCTGGATAAAATGGGGATGATAATAGATGGCTACCTCCTGGGGTTGTGTATTAAAGGAGGTCAGGTCTATAAAGTATCTACCAAGTGCCCTGCACAGTGTGTTTAACAAAAGGTAGCTGTTGTTATTGGAAGATGACTACATGGATCCTGGAGAAAGTTCCTGCTTGCAAAGGATGAGGTAGCACCAGGAAGTCTCAGCTTTGTCTTGAACAGGAGCTGGTGTCCTTGACTCCTGGTTTATTTTTATTATGAAGTCAGAAAAAGGAAAATAGACCTCTGCCAACTACTGAGGAGTCCACCAAAATGCAAAGGGAAGCTCTTTAAAGGGTGTTAAATTCGCCAAAAGCGGAGAGTCAAGTGCTGGACAAGGCTCCCACTCCCACCCCAGTGTCAAGATTGGGGGGTGTCTCTAAGAATCTGGCAATGCACTTTTCTTGAGGCCTGTTTTGTGACAGGGGTTTTATAACCTCAAGTTCGGAATTTTTAGCTCCGTTTTGAGGTAGCCCAACGTCCTACATTGAGTGACCCTGTATGGCAGGTCCCCAGGTATGTGTTCCTAACCACTACACCTTACTGCCTTCAGCTGCCCCGCCAGGCGCAGCTCGGGTGAAGGGCAGGCGCCTGAGGGGCTGTGGGGGCGAGGGTGTCCGAAGAGGAGGGCTGACCCGGGGGTGGGCACAGGCCCCAGTGACGGCGGGTGGAGGCTCTTGGCCTCCCACCCATTGAGCTCCTGGAGACCCAGGGTGCGCCCCGCTGCGGGGCCCTCCTCCCGCCAGCAGGGGGCGCCAGAGAGCCCGCGGGCGGGAGGCTTGGAGAGCGGAGCCCTCATCGCTGCCTCCCGGAGTCGGGACCGAGGCTGCCGCTCTCTCAGTCGTACGCGGCGAGGCTCTGGGACGCGCCCCAGGCGGTACCCGGGACCCGGAGCCCCGGCAAGAAGCCCGTCCCGCAGCGCCACCTTCCCGGTCCGTGCCTGCCCGGAAGCGCTGGCGCCGAGGGGGCGGGGCCGAGAAGCGCTTCCGGGGGCGGGGGGTGAGGGCTGGGGCGGCAGCCGGAGCGGCGGGGACGGGCCTGGCGCCGGCGGCGGCGGAGGGAGCGCCGCGGGCGGGCGATGTGAGCGCGGCGCTCTCGGCAGGTGAGACGCGCTGGCCAGGGGCGGCAGGCGGCGGGCGAGGCGCGGGCGGAGCCGGCGAGGCTGGGGACAGTCCCCGGCCGCTGTCCGGCTCTCTCTGGGCGCGGCGGGGCGGGAGCCTCCGCGCCTGGTCAGTCCGACGGGCCGGTGGGCGGCGCGGGCTGGAGCCGAGGCCGGGAGGCGTCGGGAGGCCCAGGGCACCTGCTCGGGCCAGGCGTGCGCCCCCGAGGGGCCACCCGTGCTCGGCCCGGAGTCCGGGTGCCGCTGGCGGGGCAGAGGGTCGCGCTCGGCCAACTGCCCCGAGCTCTCCAGCTTCTGTCTCGGGCGTCTGGGGATCCCCTGCTTCCGGGCCCTTCGTCCCTGGGCGCGCTCCCCCTTTGTACGGGAGGTCGGATGGTTGAAACCCCTGGATAACAGGGCCGACCCTGGTGGTGGCTGCAACCGAACCCCTGCCCCACGCCACCGCTTTTTTTCAGGTAAACAGGCGGCGGCGCGTCGTGCTTGGCCCTAGACGTCTCCATGGTCATTCTCGCCCACAGTAGGTCCTGCCATTACCGAGGGCTTGCCTGGGGGTGTAAACAGTGCCCTTCTAGGCTAGACGGCAGTGCTTTAGGGCGGCACTAGCTGGGAGTGTCGGTCTTGAGGCTTGCAGCTCGCCTCTTCCATGCCGGGCCTCAGTTTCCCCATCTGATAAGTGAGGATTTTAGATTCTCTCTCTTAAAGACCCTTGTTACTCTGCCATTCTGTGTATGTCTGAAATTGGAAGGGCTGTCTCTGATTCAAGAGATTGGGCAGTTTCACTGAAGACTTTTTGCAAATATGGACTTTTTGGCCACTTAATGCACTTGGTTTCAGACAGGCTTTAAAATGATTCCAAGAAGCGTTTCTGAATGTTACCTTAATCATAATTCATCCCTTGCTTTTGTTCCTAATAGTAGTCAATCACATCCCCCTGAGTTTTTGCATGCAAATTTTTTTGTTGTTGTTTATAGTTGCCCATTTTCTCTTTGTTCCCTAGTCCAGGCCCTCTTTGCTTCACATCTGGATTATTGCAACAGCTTCTTAGCTGGTCTCTGACTTTAGAAGTTCTCCCTACACCTCCCCCATCCTTCCTTTATGCTAATGCCAAACTTAATATAGGAAGTCAAAAAAAGAGTTGAGTGTTTGCTTGCTTATTAAATGTCAAGATGCTGTTCCATGTGGTGGGGGAAAGTAGTAGAAGACACAGCCTCCGAGCAGCTTTACACAGGGTGCTGCGCCGTTACCTGTAAAAAGGTAATTGATTAGACAAGGCTGTGTGCTATAGAATTAAGAGGAAGGAGAGGGGGAGGTCATTAAGGACAAGTGGTCAGGGAAGGCTTAGTGAAGGGGTGAGGGTTGAGCTGGCTATGCAAAGATGAGTAGGATTCAGACAGGAAAAGAGGAATCATGCCCAGTGACCTTATGGATTTAGTGAACAGACCAGTCTCCTTGTGGAGACGGGTTCATGTGAGGAACGGAATAGGAGGAAAGATTGGTTGGGCTAGTTCCTGAAAGAACTTGAATACTAGGCCAAAGTTGAACTTGTTCCAAAGGCAGTGGTGAGGGCAGGAGACTGGGGGTGGTTCATGATAATTTGCAGGAGGGGAAGGGAGTACTTAGAGGCCAGATCAGCCAGGAGGCCATGGCACTTATATCCCTCCTCACAGTAGTGGCCTCGTGCCTGCCACTCTGTGTGCAGCCATTGCCCACCCTGTCTTTTCAAGTCTCCTTGGTTTGGCCCCTCCTCACCTGCCTGAACCGTATTCCCCACTTCTCCTCCCAGTCTGTGCCCTTCGGAAGCAAGTTTATGACTGTCCCTAGGGCTTTGCTTCTGTTACTGCCCCTTCTGAAGTGCTGGCCTTCTTTTTCTCTGTGTAAATTCTCCATTTCACTTCCTCAAGCCCCTGCTGAAGATATACTTCCTCCAGAGGGTGTTCCCAGCCTGCCCTGCCCCCATGCCTGTGCGGCACTCAGAACCTAAAGCGCAGGATTTAGCACTTGTTCCTTGGTTATTGAACTTGTTCTTGTCCCAACTGGAGTGGGAGTTTTTTTCAGGGCATTGTGTCTTAATACGTCTCTCGGAGCCCTTGTAGTATCTAATACTATAGCTGGACTTTTAAAGGGGGGGAGGGAGCAAATTTTTTAAAAAATCGTTTATTAAAAAAATTGTTAAAAATTAACAAAAATCAAGAAGTATTTGAGAGCCCATTCTAAAAGGAATTCTCTTATTATCAGCTTTCTCTGTCATATAATCACTTATGTCTAATACTGCCATTCAAGGTGAATATTTTCAGTTTTCATCCTTAGGGTGCTAATAACGTAAAACGAATCTTTGAAACATTAAAATGTTAACTCTTGATTACGGGAAAAGAAAAAATTCAAGTAATTCTGCGGTTGGAGGCTGTGGCAAAATAAAGCCCATCAGCTTTAGAATCAGATAGGCCTGGGTTTGAATCCCATCAAGCCTACTTACTAGCCAGCGATGTGAACTTGGGCAATTTATACAATGTCCCTGAGCCCCTGTTTTTTCATCTGTAGTGTGGGGATAAAATCCACTTCATAGGGTTGCTGTGAGTTTTAAAATGAAAGAAGTATATGAAGGAGGTAGCAGAATTTACAGCACCTAGTAACTGCTTAATACATTTTTATCATTGTCATCTTCATTAATATTAGGTGTAAATATATTAAGATGGAGAAATAATAGGCTGCTGAACCTCAGTGTATCTACTGAGTTGTGGATTTTGCACGTCTCTGGATCCTGCTTCTACTTTCCAGCGAAGCTTTTGTTAGAAATGCCAGTATCATGGATCTAGAATACCATCATTATGTCTTATTCCCATTAATTTTCATGTTACTTTAAATTATGCTTAGTGTTTTTCAAACTTATTAATTGTGTCTGTTTAATGTTTTGTAGCTGACAAACTGCTGAATTTAGCTTAGTGAAGGTCATCAACTGAATGCAGTTTAATTTCTAATGGTTATTTTCTGGTTAATATTGATGGCATGGAAAAACCTCATGGAAGAAAGCAATTCAAGGTGAGCTTTTCTAATCGTTTTGTCATAAGAGGCGGAACTTAATGTATTTTCTAGGTCCAGCGCCCCCTGAAGTGCCAACAGTAAACAAATATAGGATGCTACTCCTTGACATTTTTGAGTTCTTTGTCTGAAGAAAACTTATTCATTCTTTTACCTGAAACAAATCTTTCTAATTCATGATTCGAATTTGAAACATTTACCCATTTCATAGACAGAAGTAAAAAGAACGGACATTATGCAGAGAAATGACCGCAAACTACTCAAAGTACTGCAGATTGTCACCCCTTAATTATCACTGTGTTGGTATAATGATATATCCTTAAATGAGAATTCTCTTTGCCCTCAGAGTTCATCAGTAAGAGTCAGGCACCAATAAAAACCCTGCATCTCACCTGTGTGCCTGGATTAAAATCTGCCTTTACAGGAGATAAGAATTCCGGCCCTGGAGACTGACAAATCTAGGTTCAAATCCTGACTCAGTCAGTCTTAGTGACCTTGGGAAAGGTGCTTAGCCTCTCTGAGTTCGTTTCGTCATCTGTAGAATGGGGACAATGGCGGTATCTGTCTCATCATGTTGTCGGGAAGATTCAATGAGCAGGTAAAGAGCTTGCTTAGCATACAGCACACGGTAGAGGCTAAGTGACGGTAGAGGCTCAGTGACAGTTGGTTTTTGACATTGCCAGTAAGGTTAAAGAGGCTGTTCCTCCCCTGCTGGGAAAGCTCAGAAGAAGCTTCTGATGTTTGCAATGACTGAAAGACAAACCCTGCTGTCAAACCAAAATGCACTCTCAGAATTAGTGTATCTGAGCAGACTTGGAGAACGTTAACGCCTTGGTAGGAAATCTAACAGCTTGGATAAAAATGTTCTATCAGGCTCACATGAATTAATGCAGTAAGAACTCTAGACTTGTTTTCTTTTAAATTAGGATGAGTGCTTCATGAATATCCATCACGGAATGCCATTTTATTTATTTTTTTCTTGCCGGGGGTTTCAGCAGCACCAGACTGTTTCTTGCAGCCCTGGTGATATTCGGTGGCTGCTTCCTAAAGGATTAAATTGTAATTTATGACAGCTCAATTTTCATTTTGATCTAGGCCCAGGCAGAAATACCTAGAAAAGTTATTTTTATATAGTTGTTACTGTCGTCCCTAGTGCTTCCATCTGTGGTCTTTTTAATGACTTTGTCTGAGAATGAAAGTTGGGGACCTTCAGGTCTTAGGTGTCTGATAGGGAAAACCTCGTTTGAGTTGTGTCTCCGGTATCGGCAAGTGACTGAAGCCAGCAGGTGTGCGTCTGGGTCTGGAGTCCTGAGCATCTTGATTGAGAATAGTGGGTGCCTCCTGGTGCCTTCAACAGCTTCTAGATTTGTAACCACACTTTCCTTTCTTGGAAGTGTTGCTGAGTATTTTTAAATGAAGTGGAGCCAATTAGAGTATTGATGGGCTGGAGGAGACCGAACCACCTTGTTAGATGTTGCCTGCGGGCAGAGACAGTCCCACATCTGTTGGGTCTTCGGCAGGAGGAGTTGAAAACCCAAGGTGCAGCTGTGGTGGCATTCGCAGATTTTGAGGCACCAACTTGGTTTAGGTTGTGTCAGCTCACAGATGCTAAGAGCCCCTCTCTGCCAGACACTGCTGGGCCCTGGGCACGCAGCCCCTGCCCTCAGAGAGTTTGCCACCGAGAGTGTGAGAGCCCAGCACCACAGGAGGCTCAGAGAAGCAGCCCATCTCTGATTGCGTAGGTTGTGCACTTTTGTTCTCATTGTCATGGGGAACCGATCCCAGGGCTTTACACAAGAATGTTGTTGAGGGGATTTCAAGGTCCATGGAGGGGTGTTTTGCCCAGATGACATTTAAGTGTCCTTTCTCATCTGTAGGTTCTCTTCAAAAATGGGTCAGCAGTATGAGAAGATGTCACTGGTTTTGGTTTTCATTCCGGTTTCCTTACAGCTTAACAGAGCGCACGATGCAGAATTTTACTAGTCATTGAAATGGTGTGTTAAGGAGAGGGGCAGGTGTGGATGTTACCTTTTTCATGAGATATATGTTACAATACTTCTTTTATAGGAGCAAACAACTTTTCTGTAATCATCTATCCTTTTCCTGTCTTCTCTCCTGAGTTAACCTCTTCTTACCATTCACCCTCAGTTGGAACAGTTTTTGGTTACTCCCAAACGGTATCTCCAGGTCTCACGTTTCTCGGTAGCTCCAGCCCCATGCTTCGCACTGCTTGTTGGACAAGTCTCCCCAGGTGCTCAGTGGGCACCCTGAACTCCTTTTGTCTGAGGCTCAACTGACTTGCCTCCCAGAATGGATCACACACCTCAGTCTCCAAGCCCTGTTGAGGCCTTCTCTGGACCCATGTTCAAATCGGCTGCCGCCAGATTCGGTTTGAGTTTTCTAATCTAGCATCCGTGGTCCTCCACATTCTGACTGTGGTACCCCTCTTTCCCATGTCACCCCTTGTTCCTGGGCCCTGGCCACCACCCCAGGCACCATACATTTTCACTCTGCTGTGCTCTGCTCTTGCCCTTCCTTCCATCTGGAGTGTTCTTTCTGTTCCATTTGAAATGCAAAATCCTGTTCAGATATTACTTCCACCATGAAGTTTTTCTTTGTTCTATTTTGATTTTTAAAAATCTCTTTGGTTGAAAGTAATCAGTCTTGTCATTGCTCCTCATAGCTCCTCCTTTCTGCCTCCATAATTGCTTGATGCAGTATTTATCCATTTGCAGCCTATCCTTCTCTAGATTCTTTGGTTTAAAAAAATTATTTATTTTTAGATAAAATCCTATATCATCTTAGAAAAGTTTTTTTAGCAAGAATAATATAGCTGTGTGATTAAAATGATTCAAAAATGTAAAATAAAGTCTGTTTTCCTTCCCTATCTCCAGTCCTTAATCCTCATTCCCCAAAGTCACCAACATTAATAGTTTCATGCAATTCCTTCCAGAATGGCTACAGCAGCATACATTCATTCTTTTAAGAAAAGTACATGAAGGGAATCACATATACATACATATTGTTCTGTATCTTGCTGGTTTGGGCCAAATATTAGAGCTCTTTCCTTGTCAAAGCATACACGTCTGTTATTTTTAATGGCTGCTTAGTGTTTCATTGTTGATTGGGGTTTTTTGGACCAAGTGTCCTCTTGTGGATTTTGAGATTGTTCCTCTCTCTCTCTCCCTCCCCCCCCTTTCCCTCTCTCTCTCTCTCTCTCTCTCTCTCTCTCTCTCTGCTATAGCAAATAAAAATGTTCAGTGGACATCCTTGTTACATATATCCTAACAAACTTTTGCAAGTACTGTATGTTTGTAGGCTCAATTCCTAGCAGTTAGTTGTGGACCAAATAGTACATGACTTACATTTTGATCGATATTACCAGATTATCCCTCAGGATTACACTTGCCAGCCCTTTTAAAATGTACGCAAGTCTGCGTTACAAATGGTATCTCATTTTCTCTCTTTGTAATTCACATGTTTTTAGTCATGAATAAAGCTAAACATCTTTTCATATGTGCTTTTTTTGGTCATTTGTCTTTTCTTTGAACTGTACATATCCTTTGCCCATTTTTCCGTAGGATTTTTCGGTGTCACCTCAATCTGTTTGATTTATAATATAAATTAAGGAATTTGGAAAGTAGCCCTTTGTCAAATGTGCACGTACTTTTTCTCACTGTGTCGTACATCTTTTGGCTTTTAAAGGGGGGATTATTTTTTTGGCATAAACTTCTGTGTTGTCAAGTGTGTTTGTCTTTGCTTTTGTGGCTTCTGGGATTTATGTCATGCTTAGACCTTTTATCATTATTATAAAATTCATGCTTTCTTTTAGTTATTTTTTGGTGATAATCACGTCTTTTTGTCATAAGAATAATATGGCATTAAGTGGAAAATAATCGGACCCTCCTTACATTCCCTGGTGCTTTGTAAGAAATTGTTAAACATGCAGCACCTTCGAAAACCAAGAGAGTTGTCTTTCCAATAATCAGGTGTTTTTTGTTACACAAACCTGTGGTGTTATCATACATAAGGGCGGTTGTTGCCTTTTTGCCTCTTTTGCTCAAAACTCAGTGGCAGGAGCAGGGTGAAAGGTAGAGCAGAGTATCGATTATCTGGTGCCTGTTCACCTCTTAGGATCAGCGTGTCTGCTCGATTATGGTCAGCTGGTTTATCTGTCTTTGTAAAGTGACTTTTTTATTCTAAAGCTCCTTCCGATAAAATGCATATATTCTTAGCGAGCTTCGAAACCTGGATTAAGTATCATTCCCTTGTTTGTTGCATTTCGGAACAGCTTCTCCAGGGTGTGCTGATATGTTCTGTAGCTTTTTGAGGGCGGGGTCTTAAAAAGATTTCCAGCAGCCTTGTTGTCATATGGTCTTGCATCAGATCTTAGTTTTCTTTTCAGAGCATGCATGCATGTTGATTTCTAGGACCCCGCCTTCCCTTTTACCCTCAGGTCTGTGGGAGGCTGACTTGCATGGCGATCTGCAGGACAGCTCCCCTCTCTGCTGTGGGTTGTGCCCACCTGTGCCTGGCTGTGTAAATGGCCTGCCATTGCTCAGTTTGATGTCGCTCTGCAGCGGATCCATTTTCTTCCCGAACCTGTCCGCTCTCTACTCCTCGTGGTTCTGTGTTGCCCCTGGCCTGAGCAGGCCTTGCTGCTGTCCTCGGTGCTTGGTCAGCTGGAGAGCCCCTCAAAGTCTGCTCTTGTTTTGTGAACACCAGTCTCAGTGCTGCTTTGAATTCTGCTGAACTTGGGCTGAACCTGTGTCTTGGCAGCATCTGCTGTCTGTGACTTACCTTCAGACATTAAAAGGACCAGTCACTCGAGCCCTAGATCAGTGGTTTCTAATTAGTTGTGGCTTTAGCATATAGATAGCTGTTTACTTAAAGCAGGTAAAATCAGCCAAGCTTTGAGCCTGGGGGTGAGGAGGAAGGAGGGTCAAAGCTGTGAATACGGAAGACATATACTTCAGCTGAAGGGCCACCTGGGACTTTTT